GCCCCTTCAGCACGAGATGCTTTTGCCCAGGCTGAGGGAAGGAAGGGGCTAGAGGTCTGATGCTAAAGTCCCAATATTTTTTGCATGTGGTCAGACCGAGCCCCCCTGTCCCTGGCAGTGCTCCCCAGTGCCTGGGCAGAGCAGGCTGGCTGCCACAGCTGGTGCTTGGGGGTGAGGGTGGCCAATACCCACCCAGTACCCTGCAGACCTTGCCGTCTTTCCCCTGCAAAGGGCACATTCCTGTGCCTGGTGACTCCGCTAAGCTGCCAGAACGTTTCATGGTCCATTACAAACCCCTTTGGAAATGACTGGTTGTGTTGCATCAGTTTTTGTGTGTGGCAAGTGGGCCCATAACGCTGCAGGCTTCAAATTTTTCTTATTTATAGTATTTCTACTTAAGTCCCCTAATCAGGGAACGTTTAAATCATTTGTTTCAGGAACCTCGCTGTTTCCCAGGTCTCGCTGTTACATCTGTATATTCTTATTGTGCAGTAGCCTTAAGAGTTGTGTTAATCTCATTGTAACAACAGTGACAAATGGAATGAACTTTCTCCCCCTTTTTTTTTTTTTAACTTTGTTTTTGTTTTTGTTTTTTTTTTTCTGCTTCCACATCTAAGAGCCATGTCTCTTGCTGGTTTCCCAGGGATTTGCCTGAAGTGTGGCAGGTCGCTGGCCCTTGCTATAGACTCTTCTGTTGTTGTTTGTAGTAAGTCAACTCTTAGTCTTCCCGCTAATAAATATTCAGTAACAAACCAACTGCGTTGAGCTGCTGTCTGGGAGCAGCACTTCCCCTTGTGTTTCTTTGTATTGATTCCTTTTAATTTGTTCAGCTCTCTTTGCCAGATGAACGTATGTAAACTTTTACCATGTCAAGAAATTAAAATAAGGTACTTGGAATTCTTTCAAGGCAGCCCCTTGTGTGTGATGCTGGGCTCTCAGGCCATGCAGTGTTAGTGTCCTGTTCTGGTCCTGCCTTTCTCAAATCCAGTTGCTCCTTCCTGCCTTCTCCTCATTCCTCTTTTTGGCTGTGTTGTAAATGCTCTGCACTGCAGTGCAGGTTGCCCCTGTTCCTTCAGCACGCTTCACATGGGCCCATGGGCTTGGGTCTGATGGAAGTTGTCCCATCTCAGCCCAGTGTGGGACTGGGGCCATCCCAGTTCAAACAGACACATGGACTGTGCATTGTGTCCCCCTGAGTGTGCAGCTGCTCTGCTGGGCGGGTGTCTCTCAGCTGTCCTGCAGCACCTGGATGCAGTGCCATGTGTCCCTTGGGCACACAGCCAGTTATTCCTTGGGCACACAGTCCATTATTCCTGGCTGCTCCATGCGTGTGATACCCAAGGAGGGGTGGCTGCCCTGCTGTCCCCAGCCACAGTGCCCTCTGCTCTCTCCTGGGAGATCATCCTGTTCTTGTACTCCCTCCGTGCCTGATGCACTGCAACTGGAGCCCAGAGGCCTCTCAAAGGTCACCTGGGGACTCCCAGAGTGTCCTGTACCCTGCCTGCAGGGCTTGTGACTGTCCCCAGGAGTGGCCACCACAGATTGGGGCTCCCAGCTGGCACCTCTGGCTGCTCAGGAGCAGGAGCAGGTGGATGTGGGGGAAGGTTCCTCCTGCAGTGTGGGAAGGCCCTGCAGGTGCCCGACTCGTGGGGAGGGGCCACTGAACTGCACACAGATCTCGGGGTTGAGGTGGCTGGAGCCAGAGCCCCAGGGAAGGACTTGCTTGGAAGGAAGGTTTGTTGTCTGTGATAGTCTGGGAGCAGCGGCAGTGCGGGGTCAGGGCTCAGTTTTGCTGGTCCTTAAGATGTCCCAGCTTACGTGCAGGGGAAGAGAATAATGGCTCAGCAGTTGTGTGCAGCCTCAGGCACTGCCAGCAGCACAGCCAGCATGGGGAAGGGTCAGGCAGTTCCACTGCTGTGTTTTGTACCAGCTGGCCCCATGAGGTGAGGCTTTGGGAGTGGGAACTTCCTTGAGTCTGAACTCTGGTGTGGGGTTTGCTCAAGCCTTGCTGGAGTCGAGAGTGTTGGCAGGGGTTTTTCTGTACTGTGCCCTTTCCCCAGCTGTCACAGTCACCAACTCAGAGTTTCCCCAAGCCAAAAACTGCCTGTCTAGCTTGGGTTTCTATAAATTTCACATGCTATTTTTTGCCACCTCTACCTTTCCATGTGAGTGAAAATGCAGCAAACACCCTTCTTCCTCACTTTGTTTGGGGAATGTGGGCAATTTAGCAAATATAAGATGTACTGATGGGCAGTGCCTAAAAGTGACCGTGTAGCCAAAATAAAACATGGGTAGGATGTGAATTCTCCATATGGGATGTGGGGCAGTGACAGGCTGATTGCACTGGGGAACTGGGATGTGGGAAGCAGTACGTGCACCGAGCAGGTCATAAACAAGTAACACTGCTGTTAGGGAGATGTGCAATTTGTTTAATTCTAGGTTACCTTTAAGCTGCTTCAGGCTTCTTTTAGAGAAGGTGCACGAGCAATTCCAGTGGGGGGACCCTGAAGATCCGTTGTTGTTTTCATCAGTCAGTTATCGACACAGGTTTGCTGGCACTGCAGGCTCAGTTAATTACTCTCCTTCCTGAAGTTCCTACTGCAAGATAGAGGTGGATTTAGGGCTATTTTGTTTAATCTGAAACAGATCTATAAACCAGAGCTTGAAAAGTCCAGCAGAAACAGACGGTACTAAAAAAACCTGGGATCAGCCATGGCCTCCGTGGCACAGGCCTTGCAGCGGGGCAGAGGCAGTGCAGAAAGCTGCCATCCATGTCCCGCAGCTCTGGGGTATGTGCTGTGGTTGGTTTGTCATGGGGATGTCAGTACAGATTAGGGTTTCTCCTTCTTTCCAAGTCTCCGACGTGCACAGAACCGGGAGTGTTCCCACACTCTATTTTCAGATCTCTCCCAGCCCAGCTGCAGGGTTGAGTTGTGATTTGTGGGGCAGGAAGGCCTGTGGAGTTTATCCAATTCCCTTTAAACTACTGCTGTGCCGCTCGGAAAAGGCCCTTCCGTAATTGCAGCCTGTGCTGTGGCTTTGGGGGACTCAGGATGCAAAACCGAGAGGCGAAGTCAGACCTGAATGATCTGCTCTTTGTGTGCTTCTTCAAGGAAAGGTCCATGTGAGCTCTGTCACGCAGCCACGGGGGTTCTGCTGTAGTGTCGGCCCAGCTGTGCCGGTGTGTGTGGCAGCAGAACACTTGTTGCATTCCTGAGGGGCAGGAGGTATGTCCTGGCTGTGCTCCAGACCTGAACCCCGGGCAGCAGTGCTGCTGCTCTGCGCTCCGAGGGAAATGGACGCCGCGTTCCAGGCCTGCACCAAAAGGGAGTTTTTCTTTCAAGCCTAATTCCCAGGTAATACTCCAAGCCTCGCTGACTTTGTGGATTGACAGGCTGACTTGGGAGTCAGCGCTGCTTTGGCTAATTTGGGGTTGCTCAGAGGCATCCAGTTCTGCCCCTGTGAGCCGATGAGAGCAGCTATCTCCCAAACCTGTGGCTGCTGCATCCTGTGCAGCCAAGGCTCTGTTCTCGTCCATCCTGTCTCTCCCCATTGCCTGTGCCTGTGCTAGTGAGCTCCTTTGCTGGCACTGCGACCACGTGAAGCGAGTGCTGTGGCTCTGAGGCTCTCCTGGCACGACGGCTGGCGAGGCAGAGCCCTGTGTGCTGGCAGAGCGGGGACAAGCATGACCCAGGCCAAAGAAGGCTGAGGCTGCGAGTGGTGGTGAGGATAATGGAGCGTGTCCTACAGCAACGTGGCCTCCCTGCCTCCTGAGCACGGCCAGAGGACCACGGAGGGGCTGAGCCCCACGCAGGATCTGCCACAGAGGAAGAACTGGAGGCTGGTGGGGGCTGCTTCCCACCAGGAAACTCTGACAGGAGGAAGAGAAGGCAAGGGTGAGGTGAGGTGAGGCTGGCAGCAGGAGTGGAAAAGTTGGGTTGAATGTCCAGCCCTGGTTCTCTTGGATGCCTTGTCTCACTCAGCACCAGCTCAGGGACCGTGGCCAAGGCGGTGTGTCTTGTCTACCCCAAGCATCTGCTGCGTGGCAGGATGGAGCACCAAGTCCTTGTGGCTGCCTCGTTCTGCCAATTCCTTTGAAGAGCACTGTGAGGCCAGCAGAGACTGCCGGCAGGGTGGCAGAGGGAAGCTGTGGCTGCTCAGCCTGGGCACTGTGGCCTGGCAGCACCAATAGTGGGCACTGCCCTCAGCTGCAGCTGGACACAGGTTCATGACGGTTCTGTCCTTGAGGGAACCTCTTGGAAGCTGCGCCTCAGTCTACCTGTGAATTGGAGGTGGAGGTAAAGGCTGCACGATCCTGTGGCAGTGAAATGCTGGGGATTAATTGGTTCGGAGCTGTTCTGAGGTGCAGACTGAGAGCTGGTTGTTCACAGTGCATTGGGGCCTGATTCTCATCCCGAGCTACACCTCCATGCCTGCCAAAGTTTTTCTTCTGCCACACAGAAGGATGTGTTTTTCAGCAAAGGCTACCATGTGGAAGACTGAAAAAAAAGTAAAATAAAAAGTAACTCCAAGCTTGGAATGGCGCTGCCAGGGAGAATGTTTACAAGGAAGGAGCCCGATAAACAAGAAAAATGGGTGAGTTGCAAAGAGGTGAAATTGTACAGTGTAACAACAATTCCCGGCTTGTCAGAGCTTCACAGTGATCGCAGCCACCTCAGGCTGACTGCATGATCTCCGTTTTTACAGGCAGCCTCAGGAAGCCAGGCTGGACTGAAAAAGTAACGGAATTATGTGGAAGTTGTCTGAGTCACTGACCCTGCATCTCCACAAGTTCTTTAAGGGCACTGCTGTGGAGAAAGACAGGGGAGGCTGCAGCTGAGAGAGCTGGTCACCACGGATTTCAGATCTCCTCCCCTAGCCTCTCCCAGTCTTTTGTACTTTCTTTGCTAATCCATCCAGTGCAGCATAAACTGAGAGACGCAGGAGCAGGAAAGCCTGCTCTGAAGGCTGCTGTGAACACCGCCGGACCAGCCACAGGCATGAACGTGAAAACCGTGCTCATCCTCCTCGGTCTGGCGCTGGCCACGATATTCGCCTTGGTCTGCGTGTTGCTGACCAGAGGAAGGGCCCCCAGCACCTGCCAGCACCTGCCCCCGGAGCAGGAGGACACCGAGGATGGCCAGAGCCTGGTCTTTGCTGACCTGACACCCGAGGAGATGGCGCACGTGGTGCGGTACCTGCAGGGAAACCTCGGGGTGCCGCTGGTCGATGCCTCGCGCGCCAAACCCTCGGACAACTGCATCGCCTCCGTGGACCTGCAGGTCCCTGCCAAGGCGGAGGTGCTGCGGTTCCTGGACGGCGGGGGGGCTCGTCCCGCCCGGGAGGCACTGGCCATGCTGTACTTTGGGAACCAGCCAGACCCCAACGTCACCGAGTACGTGGTGGGTCCCCTGCCAACGCCGGCGTACCACCGGGACGTGACGGTGCGGAAGTACGGGGGGAAGGTGCCGTACCACCGCAGACCGACGCTGGCTGTTGAATACAGGCAGATTGGGGAGTTTTTAAAGGCCCAAGTGTTCCCCTCAGCTCCGGCTTTCATGCGACAGGTAATGGGCTACGATGGAGCCAGTCTTGCAGTCCTGACAGCTGCTCCCCGTGGACTCCAGTCTGGAGATCGGATCACCTGGTTCGTTTTGTTTCAGAATGTGAGTGGATTCTTCTTGCACCCCGTGGGGCTGGAGGTGCTGGTGGATCACAGCAGCCTGGACATCTCCCGGTGGGTGGTGAGCAGGGTCTTCTACAATGGCCAGTACTACAGGGACATGGTTCAGCTGGAGAGTGCCTACGTGCAGGGCCGTATCAGCGTGGAGAAGGTGAGGAAGGCGCCGAGGGACGGGGACTTCTCCTCCATGAAGCCCCGAGCGAATTCAGCTGCGCTGTTCCCGCTGCAGTACGAGCCGCAGGGTCCTCGCTACAGCGTCAGCAACAACCTCGTCCTCTTCCAGGCCTGGAGCTTTGCCTTTGGGATGAGCGTGAGCACGGGCCTGCGCCTGTTTGACATCCGACACAAGGGGGAGAGGGTTGCCTATGAAATCAGCGTGCAAGAGGCGCTGTCCGTGTACGGCTCCAACTGCCCGGGAGGGATGTCCACGCGGTACATGGATGGGAGCTTTGGCCTCGGGCGCTACACCTCCCCCCTGGTGAGAGGGGTCGACTGCCCCTACTTAGCAACATACCTGGATGTGCACTACCTTGCTAATTCCCAGGTCCCTAGAATTACCAAAAATGCCCTCTGCATCTTTGAGCAGAACCTGGGCTCCCCTCTGAGGCGCCACTACTCCAACTTGCAGTCTCTCTACTACGGGGGACTGGTCAACTCTGCTCTGGTTGTTCGGTCCATCACCACCGTGGGGAACTATGACTATGTGTGGGACTTCATCTTCTACCAGAACGGGGCCATTGAAGGCAAGGTGCAGGCCACAGGGTACCCGAGCTCATCCTTTCTCCATGGGGATGGCCTGAGATATGGCAACAGGCTTTGGGAACACACTCTGGGTACGGTGCACACCCACTTCATCAACTATAAGGTGGACTTGGACGTGGGAGGTAGGTCTGGATCTTTTTTTAATGCCTTCAGTTGTACTGATAAACCCCAGTGCTTTGGGGTTTGCCTCCTTCTCCGTAGAGTCTCTAATAACTGACATCAGCACTCTGCTTCTTTGTTCTCCTAACCTCTTCTTTCCGTGCAAAATTATTTTTCTATGTATAAAATAGTCTGTCAAGGTCGTTGAGTTGAAGGCAGGGAGAATTTCTGGAAGCTCTGTGTTCAGCTTAGGGAAAGTATGAAAGGTGGTAGCTGAAAAATGTTTGTGTTTCCTTGAGGCCTCACATCTGGCACGGCGTGTGTTGCCATAGGCATGGCTGGGCAGACAGGGAGTTGGCCCTGTCTGAGAACGGACGTTGTGAGCCCACTCTTGCGGCACCTGGGGCTGGTCCTGGCGCTCCTTGTCACTTTGGGAAAGTCCTTTTAGCATGTCACTGTGCCAGGTAAAGCAGGGCAGCTGTCCTGGTGCTCTGTGGGGCTGAGCTCCTGCAGCTGTGTCCCACTCCTCTCTCAAGGAAACACTCCAGAGCTGGATCTCAAGTCTGGGGCTGCAAAGCCGCAACAGCGACCCAGAAAGTTCCCCTGCTTCCCTGTGCGGTCATGGCCTGGCAGCAGATCCCTGCACAGGGTTGTTTGAGTCCAGGAGCAGCCTCTTGCTCACAGCCAAGTGCTGGCAGCCACCCTGGGAGTGCAGGGGTGCTCAGCCTCAAGAGGCAGCTTTGCTCCCAAAAGGCTGTTCCAGTAGCTGCAGTCTGGGGGCAGTGGGAGCACAGGTGGACACTCAGTGTCTGCTGTTGAAAACTTCTCCTGTAAAAGATGAAGGGGGAAATGTTTTACATCTGCCCAGGACTAAAGACTTCGCTGTGAGGCAGTGGCTGCATCTGAACCAGCCCGAGGAGAAACTCAGCCCCAGTGATCCCAGACTTGTTCCCCATAGCAAGAGGGGAGCCACCTTCCAGGTAAGAGGGCTTAGAGCCATGCAGAGAGCTCAAGAGGTTCCCACAGGATCCCCACCTTCCAGCACAGGGAAGGCACAACTGTGTCACAGCTAAAGTGGGCCATCCCTCACACAGATTCTTGGATCCTGATCTGAGGCTTGTGTGGGACTTGCAGGGAATAAGGGCAATTATTCCCTAGTGGGGAGTGAGAATGAACACGTAATTCCTAAATTAAGACAAATGCAAATGGGGTAAATTGCTCCAGTGCTGTGATGGTTCCAGCCCCTCCTGCCTGTGTCTCTTGGCATCCCCACCAAGAGGGTGTTTGGTGGATGTGGACCCTGCTCTCTGAAAAGTCATCCTTGCTGTTGGTCCTGTGTCACTGCTGCCTTGTGTGGGGTGGGATGCTGGGGGAGCCTTTCAGGGGCTGATGGCCAAGCAGGAGCAGCTGCCTCGTACCATTTCTGTCCACGACAGCCCCTGTGCAAAGACCACATCTGCTGGCATGCCTGATGACAGCCACTCCAGGTGCTGCCTGCCCCTTGCTGCCAGGAGTTCAGCAAATGCCGCCTGTTCTCGCCAGGGAGCTGCCTCTGGTCTCCCTGCAGCCGGAGCCAGGCTGGAGCTGCCAGGTCTCTTCCCTCAGGGCTGGGAAGGACTCGGAGACAACAGAGAATGGCGACAGGAAGAACGAGCATGTGGAGATGCTGCGGAGCCAGTGGGTCTTGGGCTGTGCCAGTGCAGACTGGCCCTTCAGGGGAGTGGGGCTGGTCCAGGAGCACCTGGGTACAAAAGGACCAGGCCAGCTGAGCCAGCCCCACCAGCACAGACACACTCCCACAGGAGATGGGGAGAGGGAGCATCCTGGGAGATGCTGGAAGAAGCAAAGGCCCTTAGGGCAGACGAGACTGGGGCTCTTTGTGGTGTCACCCTGCAGCGGGAGAAACCCATCAGTAGCCTGGTGAGTGAGTCAGTCACCAGCTCCCTGGATGGGTCCTTCGGTGTGTCTAGGGTGGGGAGAAAACAAGCCAAACTGGCTGGGACCTGTGATCTGAGAGCCCCATGAGAGCTCCAGGTTCCCTCCCCACCTCACAAGCGTCGACGTTACGCCCACAATGGCAAATGAATAAAGAGCCTGGTCTGTAGGAGAGGAACGTACTCTGGATGCTTCAGCCAAGCCGTCTGCCCTGCCTGCCACACTCAGAGCGATGAACCCCAAACTTCCCTACGTTCTCCTGGTTGGAGCTGCAGTGATAATCTTCATCCTCTCCTGCATGCTGCTGAGCAGGGGGAGGGGATCTCCCAGCTGTGAATCCCAGCCCAGCACTGTGGAGAAGACAGGCATCCGTGAGCCAGAGCCTGGTCTTTGCTGACCTGACACCCGAGGAGATGGCGCACGTGGTGCGGTACCTGCAGGGAAACCTCGGGGTGCCGCTGGTCGATGCCTCGCGCGCCAAACCCTCGGACAACTGCATCGCCTCCGTGGACCTGCAGGTCCCTGCCAAGGCGGAGGTGCTGCGGTTCCTGGACGGCGGGGGGGCTCGTCCCGCCCGGGAGGCACTGGCCGTGCTGTACTTTGGGAACCAGCCAGACCCCAACGTCACCGAGTACGTGGTGGGTCCCCTGCCAACGCCGGCGTACCACCGGGACGTGACGGTGCGGAAGTACGGGGGGAAGGTGCCGTACCACCGCAGACCGACGCTGGGCAGCGAGTACAAGCAGGTGGGAGCATTCTTGGAAACGGTGGCATTTGCTGCAGCGCCAAGCTTCCTGCAAGAGGTCCTGGAGTATGACAGCACCAACGTGGTGTTTCAGACCACAGCCCCTCACGGGTTCCAGTCTGGAGACCGTAAGTCCTGGTTCGTTTTGTTTCAGAACGTGAGTGGATTCCTCTTGCACCCCGTGGGGCTGGAGGTGCTGGTGGATCACAGCAGCCTGGACATCTCCCGGTGGGTGGTGAGCAGGGTCTTCTACAACGGGCAGTACTACAGGGACATGGTTCAGCTGGAGAGTGCCTACGTGCAGGGCCGTATCAGCGTGGAGAAGGTGAGGAAGGCGCCGAGGGACGGGGACTTCTCCTCCATGAAGCCCCGAACACCTTCGGCCGCGCTGTTCCCGCTGCAGTACGAGCCGCAGGGTCCTCGCTACAGCGTCAGCAACAACCTCGTCCTCTTCCAGGCCTGGAGCTTTGCCTTTGGGATGAGCGTGAGCACGGGCCTGCGCCTGTTTGACATCCGACACAAGGGGGAGAGGGTTGCCTATGAAATCAGCGTGCAAGAGGCGCTGTCCGTGTACGGCTCCAACTGCCCGGGAGGGATGTCCACGCGGTACATGGATGGGAGCTTTGGCCTCGGGCGCTACACCTCCCCCCTGGTGAGAGGGGTCGACTGCCCCTACTTAGCAACATACCTGGATGTGCACTACCTTGCTAATTCCCAGGTCCCTAGAATTACCAAAAATGCCCTCTGCATCTTTGAGCAGAACCTGGGCTCCCCTCTGAGGCGCCACTACTCCAACTTGCAGTCTCTCTACTACGGGGGGCTGGTCAACTCTGCTCTGGTTGTTCGGTCCATCACCACCGTGGGGAACTATGACTATGTGTGGGACTTCATCTTCTACCAGAACGGGGCCATTGAAGGCAAGGTGCAGGCCACAGGGTACCCGAGCTCATCCTTTCTCCACGGGGATGGCCTGAGATATGGCAACAGGCTTTGGGAGCACACACTGGGTATGATACGTACTCATGCCATCAATTATAAGGTGGATCTGGACGTGGGAGGTAGGTTCGGGTCTTATCTCTCCTTTTTGCACTGCCCAAGTACTTTTAGACTTGCAAAACTTGAGTTTTTTGGTGCTTATACAGATTTTCCTTTCTCGCTTGTGAGGCAGGGTGGTGTGGTCTACAATGGGGGGATGGCAAAACTGCAGAAACAGGCAAAAGGTGGATGAAATCAGGCTCTCAGTGCTAACACTGGTAGGGGAGGTATGGGGTTATAAGTTTCGTTCACACGAGAAAAGGAAAGAAAATTATCACAGTGGTGGTGGCTCTGCACGGATCTCCTACTGTGGGGTTCAGACCTTCATGGATGGCCAGAGACTCAGCTCTGAAGTGGTCTTTATGCAAGCTGGGAACTCACAGGGGCTGAAAGGAGCAGAACTCTGAGGGTATCTTGGTGGGAGGGGCAGGAGGTGCTGAGCACCAGCCCATCAGCCAGACCCACACTGGCCATCGAGTGCTTTCAGCCAGCCCTTTGCCACCTTGTCCCCAGATCGATTTGCTCCTACACCCTTCCTGCTCCCACACCCCACCTGAGATGGGCCTACCTCTCTTCTTTGTGGGAGGAAATGAATGATGCGGCATCTGGTCTGTGATGTGCAAATGTGCTCAGTGCCTGGGCTGCTCCAGGTGCCTCCATGCTGATGGAGGACATGCTGATGAGCAGTAACACCGTCTGTGCCAGCTCTGGTTAATCAGACTGTGCTTGTACAGAAAGCAAACCTGTTCTTCTGCCCTGGGAAGAGGCTCGCCCCTTGTCCCCTCTTGTCTTTGGCAGAGTCTGATGCAGAGTGGTCTTGCCTGGCTCAGACAAGTGTCCAGCTGTAGATCAACACATATGGTGTATACCTGTGACATGAGGAGCTGCGGAGCAGCAACTGCTCTCGGGCAGAATCAGTGCCCAGAGCTCAGGATGCAGGGAGGGAGGACAGGGAGAGTGGGCTCTGGCTGCAGTGATGTCCTTGGGGAACAGGGGACTGTGGGGACGCTCCTCAGTGACTTTGTTTTTGCTTTTCAGGGTTGAAAAACTCCCTGGTGGCCCACGACATGGCGTTTGAGATGACACGGGCTCCCTGGAGCCCAGAGCAGCAGATAGAGCGGCCACGACTCACCAAGAAAGTCCTGGACACAGAGGACCAGGCTGCCTTCCGACTCCAGTCAAAGATGCCCAGATACATCTACTTTGCAGCCAACAGCAAAAACAAGTGGGGCCACCAGCGTGGTTACAGGATCCAGATCACCAGTTTTGCAGGGGACCACATCCCTGAAGCCAGCTCCATGGAGAGGGCCATCAGCTGGGCAAGGTCAGGCTGTTGTGGCTGGCGTGGCAGGTTCTCAGAGACTCCCCCAGCTCTGCTAGATGGGAAGGCACCACACGGATGTCCCTTGATGGGGGAGGCACAGGGAAACACTCTTGTGGGCTGAGGTTGCTCCATTGGAGCAAGCCTGTGCTGTGCAGGCTCTTTCAGGAGCTGGCCTAGCTCTGCCCTGGCTCAGGGGGCTGCTCCCATCTCTTTTCTTGTCCTCAGGTACCAGCTGGCTGTCACCCGGAGGAAGGAGGAGGAGCCCACCAGCACCAGCATCTACAACCAGAATGACCCCTGGACACCCACTGTCGCCTTTGCCAACTTCATCAACAACGAGACCATCACCAATGAGGTGGGCTGGGGTCCCCAGGGCTGGAGCTGTAATACCATCCCCAGGCTCAGTGGGAGCCCCAGGGGCTGAGCAACCCTGGTGTTGCCCATGGGACAGCAGGCTCAGCTGGGAGAGCAGCAGCCCTGTGGAACCAGGAAAGTGGGTTTGAGCATCCCCTTCTCTGTCAGTCTGCTCAGTGCTTTGGTGAGAGTGTGCAGAGCAGGAGCTTGTTTCTCCCTGTGGAGAAATGCTGGCAAAACGTCAGGAAAATCTCTGTGAGGCCGGAATGAGGCCACAGAGGTCAAGGCAAGGGCCCTTCCGCTGGATGGATATTGTGGCCACGGCTGCAGGCAGGCCCTGGGGGAAGGGAGGGGATCTTTCCCAGGAGGGGGGAGCCCAGTGTGTGGGAACACAGCCGCCTGGTGCCTGTGGGTTCCCCTCCTTCTCTCCTCTCAGTCCCCATGGCCCCATGTGGATTTCAGTCACTGCTGCTGCAGCTTCTAAACTAACCCCAGGCTTGTGGCTTTTCCCTGCCTAGGACCTGGTTGCCTGGATAACCACTGGCTTCCTTCACATCCCACACTCTGAGGATATTCCCAACACTGTGACTGTGGGAAACTCGGTTGGTTTTCTCCTGAGACCCTACAACTACTACGATCTGGACCCCTCTATATACTCCCACGATGGTGTGTTTTTCACCAGCGAGCAGGACTTCATGGCATGTGAAATCAACCCTCTCGCCTGCCTGCCCAAAACTGCCTCTTGTTTGCCAAACTTTCCCCCATTCACCTATGATGGTTTTCAAAACACGAGCAGGCTTTAAATGTTACAGGATGGTGTGAGGAGATGCGGTCAGAGACACCAGGTTGACTGTTCTGTCTCAGATTTTAATTTTTTATAGTGAAGTCGTCTCAATTTCCAGTTGTGCAATGACTTCACGTTTTATCATTGCTTTTGAAATAGTGCTCTTGAAAAAGGAAGCGTGATCTTCCTGGCATGATGCCACATGGGAGTCTATGTTATAGGTTAATTGCTGAGTTTGAGTCTGTTTCAGGAGGAAAGTGAGGAGAAAATGCTGTTCCTCTGCTGTAGAAGTGCTATGTAGTGTGTATCTCAGGTCAAAATAATGAAAATGGTTCTGGTCCAGTGCTCTCGAGTGTCTCGTTCTTACAACTCACAGCAGTGTCTCCTGGGGTGTGATGCTGGTCTCTGCCATGTTCCCTGTGCCCACAAACCAGCCCAGCAATGTGGCTCTGGGTGCCTGTCAGGGCATGGGGACGTCCAGCTGGAGGGCAGGAGGGACAGGCTGGGGTGTCCTGGGGCTCTGGTGCCACGGCTGAGGTGGGCACTGGCACCAAGCCCTGTGGGTCCTGAGGGAAGGCTGAGTTCAGGGCCAGGACCCCATGGGTTGCAGGTCTCAGGCACTCAGTGCTGAGCACAGGGGGAGGGATGCAGAGGGGACCTGTGCAAGGTCTCACAGCTGCTGGCAGTGCAGCAGTGTCAGGATGGGGCTGTGGTGCTGTGCTCAGCGCTGCTCTGCATGGGAAAGGGCTGTCTCTGTGGTCACTGCTGCCTGCCCAGCATCTACGGGGTTAAAAGGAAGAGAAACAGGGAGATGGATTTATTGGATGGATCCAGCCCCCTTAAGCACTGCAATGTATGTTCTGGGACCAGAGGGAAGGACAGATGCACAAGCATTAAGTTTACTTATAAATCACTGACGAAGCAGTGCAAAGTTGCCTTTTATGGTTCCCAGCAGATCCTGACGATGTGTGAGAACGTCTCTGCACTCCCTTCCTGCAAGTTTTTCCAGGCTGTTTCCTGCTGAGGAAACAGGGGGGAAAAACAAACCCAAACCAAGCCCAGCCCCTTGTTCCCGCGGGTCGCTGGGTGGGTTCTGCAGCTGGAAATGCATTCTGCCAGACTGCAGGAGCACTCGGTGCCTCAGCAGGCATGAACGTGAAAACCGTGCTCCTCCTCCTCGGTCTGGCGCTGGCCACGATATTCGCCTTGGTCTGCGTGTTGCTGACCAGAGGAAGGGCCCCCAGCACCTGCCAGCACCTGCCCCCGGAGCAGGAGGACACCGAGGATGGCCAGAGCCTGGTCTTTGCTGACCTGACACCCGAGGAGATGGCGCACGTGGTGCGGTACCTGCGGGGAAACCTCGGGGTGCCGCTGGTCGATGCCTCGCACGCCAAGCCCTTGGACAACTGCATCGCCTCCGTGGACCTGCAGGTCCCTGCCAAGGCGGAGGTGCTGTGGTTCCTGGACGGCGGGGGGGCTCGTCCCGCCCGGGAGGCACTGGCCGTGCTGTACTTTGGGAACCAGCCAGACCCCAACGTCACCGAGTACGTGGTGGGTCCCCTGCCCACGCCGGCGTACCACCGGGACGTGACGGTGCGGAAGTACGGGGGGAAGGTGCCGTACCACCGCAGGCCTGTTACTGGCAAGGAGTACACGGATATCAACGCGCTCATCCAGAGGGAGCTGAAAAAGGCGCCGCAATTCCTCGCCACGTGCTGCGAGTCCGACGGGACCGACCTGGCCATCCTCACCACGGCCCCGCGGGGCTTCAGGTCTGGCGACCGCACAACCTGGTTTGTCCTCTTCCACAACGTGGCTGGCACCGGCTACTACCTGTCACCGGTGGGGCTGGAGGTGCTGGTGGAGCACAGGGACCTCCACGTCTCCCGCTGGCAGCTGCGCAAAGTCTTCTACAATGGCCAGTACTTTGCCAGCACAGAGGATCTGGAGCAGGAGTTTCTGGCCCGCACGCTGGAGGTCGTCAGGCTCAAGAAGCCCCAGGCTGATGCAGTGCTGGGCTCGATGAGGCCCCGCCACCCACCCAGCTCCCTGGGTCCACTGCAGTTTGAGCCCCAGGGTCCCCGCTACAACGTCAGGGACAATCACATCACCTACCAGGGCTGGAGCATCACCTTTGGCATGAACCCCAACTCTGGCCCTCACTTCTTTGACATCAGGTACCGGGGGGAGAGGATTGTCTATGAGCTGAGTCTCCAGGAAGCCTTAGCCCTGTATGGCTCCAACTGCCCCGGGGGCATGTCCACCCGCTACCTGGATGGGAGCTTTGGCATCGGCAGGTTTGCCTACGAGCTAGTCCAGGGCCTCGACTGCCCCTACACGGCAACCTATGTGGACTGGCACTACCTGGCAGAGTCAGATACTCCCAAAACCAACCAAAACTCACTCTGCATTTTTGAGCACGACTCTGCCCTCCCCCTGCGGCGCCACTTCTCTGACTCACAGTCCTTTTACTACGGTGGGCTGCGGAAAAACACGCTGGTCATCAGAACCATCTCCACGCTCATTAACTACGACTACATCTGGGACTTCATGTTCCACGGCAGTGGGGCCGTGGAGGTCCGTGTGCATGCTACTGGCTACATTAGCACCTCCTTCCTCCACGGCCAAGGCACTGACTATGGCAACAGGGTTGGGCCCCACACCCTGGGAACGATGCACCTCCACCACATGCACTACAAGGTGGACCTCGATGTCGGCGGTAGGTCTGGCCACCTTTGCTCGTGGCTGTGGTTCACCGTGGCCTGCAGCTCTGCCTGGGGTGTGGAGGTCGAGAGTGTTTCCCCTTCTGCTTCACAGGTCAGATGAACTTCCTGGAGACTCAGGACATGGAGTACGAGATTATCAAAGATCCCTGGAGCACGCAGAACACCATAGAGCGCCCATACCTCCGCAGGAAAAGGCTGGAGAGGGAGGATGAGGCAGCATTCCCTCTCAATGCCCCCATGCCCCGCTACCTCTCCTTTGCCAGCCCCAAGCCCAACAAGTGGGGGCACCCCCGCAGCTACCGGATCCAGATCATCAGCTTTGCCGGGAAGCACCTGCCCATCAGCAGCTCCATGGAGCGGTCTGTCAGCTGGGGCAGGTGGGTGCCAGGGCTGGGGAGCACTTAGCTCCCACTCCCTATTCCCCCACTCACCCCTGCAGCCCTGGCTCCTCCTGCTCCCGGTGTGGGGGAGCTGCCACTTCAGGGCAGGCCTGTGCCAAGCTGCAGGGAAGGGTTAAAACAGAGAACGTGCATGGGTTTGGGCTCTGAAATTGCCTTGAAAAGTTGCTCAATAGCATCTGCTCATGGTAGGTCACAGGCAGGAATCTGACCTCAGATCAGACTAACTTAGAGAAACGACATGTGTTTTTTTCTCTTTGAGGGGAACCAAGCTGCAGGACTAATTCCCAAGGGAAGCACTGGCTTCCCCAGGTTGCGATATCTTCCCTTGAGGACAAAATGTGCTTTGGAAAATGCTTGGGATAAGCACAGACCAGTCTTGCTGCCAGGATGAACTAACAGAGCTCATGCTGGGAGAGTCTGTATGGATGAGAAGTAGCTGTGGCTGAAGGGACTGTGTTGGGCACTGAGCAGCAGCATCTGTGCCTGGATCAATTTGTGTTTCCCAGCCATGCTGGGAAAGCCATGGGCAATAAGGCATTCCCTGCAAGCCCAAAGGTGCTGAGGTTGCTGCCTGTTACTGCCATGCTTATCCCTGCCAGCCCTTCCCCTCCCTGCCCCAGGACAGACCAGGTCCCCTGGATGCACCAGGGATGCATCCAGCCCCAGTTTGCCGCTGCATCCAGCCAGCAACGCCATGGCTGCCCTGCCCTGTGCCGGCATGGACAAGCCCCTTTGCTCCCTGTGCTGGCAGGTACCAGCTGGCTGTCACCCGGAGGAAGGAGGAGGAGCCCACCAGCACCAGCATCTACAACCAGAATGACCCCTGGACTCCCACTGTCGCCTTCGCCGACTTCATCAACAACGAGACCATCGCTAACGAGGTAAGCTGGGGGCCCTGGGAGGGGAGAGAGGGGCTGAGCCCTGTGGATGCTATCCTGGCTCCTGCCCTGGCTTCACGTGTCCTGGAGCCAAACTGAGCAGCCGCCAGGCTGGCAGTCCTGCTCAGCCTGACAAACGCCTCTCTGCTCTCCTGCCCAGGACCTGGTCGCCTGGATCTCTGTGGGGTTCCTGCACGTCCCCCACGCTGAAGACGTCCCCAACACGGTGGCCGTGGGGAACAGCGTTGGCTTTTTCCTGAGGCCCTACAACTACTTCAACGAGGACCCCTCAGTGGACTCACCTGACAGTGTCTATTTCAGCAGTGAGCAGGACGCCAGGGCATGCGGGGCCAACCCCCTCGCCTGCCTGCCCACGGCTGCTGCCTGTGCCCCCCACCTTCCCCCCTTCCACTTTGGGGGCTTCCTCAACCTCAGCCTGGCACCGCCACCCGGTGGGCTCTGAGGGGCCAGGGCCTGCTGCCCCCTCCCCACCCCTGTGGGCAGTGGGCAGGTGCTTGGAGGGGCTCTGTCACCGCCCCAGGACCTGCCCTCCCCCTGCCCGGCGTGCCGTGTGCTCGGGGTCGGTTTTTCGGAAGGTGCTCAGCTGTTCATTTCAGCACTGCAGAGCTGCTAAAGCTGGAACCAAAGCCTCTGAACAAACAGCCCCTGGGAGTGATTTTTCCATCTCCGTCCGGTGCCACCCTGTGTTGTGTGCGGTGGGTGCCCACAGCTGCCCCCCTCCGCTCAGACAGGGCTCACGGCCATGCCCCCCAGAGGGGCACTGCCCCAGCTGGACAGCCTTGTGTCTGCCCTTCCCAATGGACAGGGTGGGTAACCAAACCCGAGTAGTTCACAGGTGCTGCTGTGGCTCCTAAGGACGGGGCCAGACCCCGGCATGGCTGATGCTGCGGAGACTGGTGCCCTGTAAGGGGTGGCCCTGGCTCAGCTCTGCAGGAGGCTGGCACAGCGCCCATCACAGTGCCTGGCATGGCTGTGTGAGGGTGCCCCAGCCCTGCTCCTGGACCCTGGGGTGCTGGTAGGAGGCTCCTGCTGGGACACATGGGACAAACAAGGAGTTAATGTGTAACAGCTGTTCTGAGCAGCATTAATCAGTTCTGGCCTTGGCTGCTGCCCGACGTGCTTAGCCCCTCGGTGCAAGGACTCTTGCTCCTGCACCCCCAGCCGTGTGTGCAGTCCTGGCCTGTGGGATCCTGCAGGCTCCAGAGCCCATCCCCACTCTGCCAGGCTGGGATGGGGCACCAAGGAGCTCGGGGAGGGTGATGCCAGTCCTGGCATGTGGCTGCACGTGCTGAGGTGCCCTGGGGGGCATGGGGGCATGGTGGGTGTCCATCCTCTCTGGCCCCTTGGTGTAGTGGCTGGGTCTGCCCAGAACGATGCTGCAAGGGGCTGGAGAAGCCCTAATGGCAGCTGTTCTTCCCCCTGGGAACCACCTCAGCTCCCTGCAGCACCCAGGGGCGTTGTGCACAGCGAGCAGCTGAGGCCATGGCTCGGTGGGAGGCTGCAGTGGCCCCTGGGTGCCCTGGGGTGACAGCAGGGACTGTGCCCAGCGGGTCCTCTGAGGTCTTGTGTGTCTGGCAGGCTCCCTGCCCGCTGCCTCGTGCCCACGTGTGTGTGGTGCTGCCTGGACTCTGCCTGCTGACGCAGCCCCGTGCTGGCAGTGACCCGCTGCTGCCCGGCCCGGACCTTGCAGCCACCTGGGAATGTTCTGGACCAAACAGTGGCAGTGCATGCAGCACACTGTGTTACAGCACCCGCTTGTGCTGCACCTGCCCTGGCTCCATCCGGAGCTCTGTGTCCCAGGGGCAGCTGCTGCCAGTGCAGGCACACTCCTCCTGGGCTGCCAGCTGACCCCGAGCTCAGTGTGCACAGGCCCAGGACAGAAAGCAGGTTCCCCCAGCCTGGCCCCACTCCTCCCCTGAGAAAGCCTCCCCAGCCAGTTTGCAGTGCATGTCCCCAGCAGTGCTCCCAGTGTGGCTGCTTGGTGCAGGGAGCCTGGCATGGTGCTCCTCGAGCTGCTGTCAGATGGGCCAGGATGTAGAACCCTGTGGTGACCAGTGGGTTGGCAGCTCCTGCTGCCCCAACCTGCCCCTGCCCCACACAGTGACTTTGGGACCAGGGATTTATCCGCAGTGCCGGGCACAGAGCAGTACTGGGAAACCACTGGAAGGATTTTGGCAGCTCTGGCACAGACCTGACCCGTGCCACATGCACATGGCCACTGCACAGGGGCGTGCTGGGCTGTGCCACTCCATCCTCCACGCTGGGAGGGAGGAGGTGGCTGCTTCTCTCCTGCTTCCTGGTCTCTCCCTGCCGCAGCCCCAGGTTTCCTGCAGTGACTCTCCAAGCGGACTGGAGTGCTCGTCCCCATCCCCCCAGCACGTTTTGCCCCATTTTCTGCTGTGAAATCTCCCGTGGAGGATTTACTGCTGATGGTTTCAAAATGTTTTTGACGCCGAAGCCAAGTCTGTTGCATTCCTTCACGCTGGCCAAAAAGCCACTCTCAGTTGAGGACCCTGGAACGAGCAGTTAGGGAATGTGTTTTGCAAGAGTGACTCCATTGCTTTGCAAACTCCTGTTTCGTTGGGGTGTTCTGTAGGTCAGGAGCTCAGACTGTCCCCTTTGGATGCAGGGAGGCTGGGCTGGGAGGGGTGGGAAGGACCAGCCCTGGGCAAGGATGTGCCTCTGGGGGGCTGACCCCACAGCATTTGCACTGCTGCTCTCAGAGGCCATTCATGCCCCTGATCCCAGGGAGGAAGGTTTGCTGGGCTGTCAGACCCCATGGCCCCCTGGGCTCTGTGTGGGCAGGGGGGACAGGGCCTGTAGACCCCACTGTTTGTGGGCAGGACTCTGCTCAGGACATGGCTCTCACAGCAACAAACAGCATATGGCAGCGGTTCAAGGATCTTGACCTGACTGCTCAGGAGGGAGATAAGTGATGCATTTCACTGGCAGCTGATCATTAACACCTTGCTGCCTGCTCCCATCATGGGCAGCTGCCTGTTCAGCTGTGGCAGGTGATGGCTGAGCACCCTGTGCTGCTGCCACAGGGCTGCATGTTTGTGCACCAGCGGTTGTAGATGATAAAGTTGTGGTGCCCACAGTGCTCCCAGTGACAGCAGAGTGTGGCTGGGGTTGAGGGAACAGCCAAGGGCTGGTATCCAGTACTGTAGGATGAGTGGCATGTTTGGCTCTGTCCCCTCAGCCGGGGTCTGATGGTGCTGGAGGGATTAACCCAGTGGAGCAGTGCTGGCAGAAGGAATGCTGTCCCTATTTGCAAAGGTTCTTTAGCCCCACAGCAGAGACCAGGAGAACATGGCTGGCAGCCAGGAGCACCCCCAGCCTGGCTGGCTGTGGCTGCAGGGATCTCTAGGAATGGCTTGGAAAGTTTCCCATTTTGTGAAGGCCTGGTTAAATGAGGAGGGGGGTAGGCAGCCTGTCCTCTGCTCCATGCACCTACTCCACCCTCCTGGGCACCCCTGCCATGCTCTGGTGGGGATTCACAGGGAGATGGCAGAGAGGTCGGAGCAGTATCAGCCCCGGACACAGCAGCTCTGCAGGGCTGTCACACAGATAATGGAGCAAAGGCTGCTGTTCAGCTGGAGCAGCTGAACTGTTGTGTTGGGTGGCTGGAGGAGCTGTGGCTGCAGGATTCCCCTGAGTGAGGGGACAGTGTGGGGCAGGGGACAGCGCTGTTGCTGGAGCACCCTGTGCTCCGTGTTCCCTCGGAGCCTGCTTTTCCCTATGACGTAAGTTGTTCCAAACATGTTTGTGACACCCCCCCCCCCGGTGAAGCACCTTTGGCAAAAGTGGTTTTGAGTCCAAAGATCAGTGCTGGGACAGCGACCTGCCCGCAGCAAACAAGACCCTGCAGAGTATAAAACTCCGGCGGCACAGCAGAGCGTGGGGCAGCCGGAGCCGAGCCGAGGGCAGGATGGAGGCCAACATGAACCTCCTGCACGACCTGGGCATCCAAACGACACACTGGCTGCAGCAGCGCTTCCAGGGCTCCCAGGACTGGTTCCTCTTCATCTCCTATGCTGCTGACCTCAGGAATGCTTTTTTTGTCCTCTTCCCCATCTGGTTCCACTTCAGCGAGGCAGTGGGCATCAGACTCATCTGGGTGGCTGTGATCGGAGACTGGCTCAACCTTGTCTTCAAGTGGTGAGTGGCCCTGAGCCACAGCTCCCTCCGAGCGTGTTGGCACAGCTGGACTAACGTGGGCCACTTGGGTGCTCTCAGCCCCAATGCTGGAGCAGAACACAGAACAGAGTTCAGCTCCTTCCCAAGCTATGCAGCAACAGCTCCCCCCTTCTCAGAGCCAGGCAGAGAGATGGAGCCTTCTACAAACAGACCCTGCTCATCAGCCAGGGCTGTGGTGCTGAGCAGGGGCTGCACAGAGCCCCTCAGCACGGGAGGTGGCGTTGACTTGCACCCAGGAAGTTCTTGCTCTTCCCCTTCGGGGCCGGGGATGGGGACATGGAGAAGCAGTGTCAGCTGTCAGAACCAAGTGACCAGCTGTATGCTGTGTCTGTCGGGATGCCCTGGACCACTCGTGGGTCCTTTGCTTCTTCCAGCTCCCAGGACAGAGCTGAAGCTGCAGCTGTGCCTGAAACCTCCTCAGACTCCATTCTCCTTTCTTTTCAGGATCCTCTTTGGAGAGAGACCATACTGGTGGGTCCACGACACGGACTATTACAACAACAAGTCCGCCCCAGAGATCCAGCAGTTCCCGCTCACCTGCGAGACTGGCCCTGGTAGGGTCCCCCAGCCCCAGCTGGGGCAGTGGGCACTTGCCCAGGGTGACCTGCACATTCAGGGAGGGGGGTGATGGTCTGGGCAGAGTCATGGCTGGCCAGCCCACCAGTGGCACATGCTCCTGGCCAGCTCTTGAGAGAGGGCCATTACTGCTGTGCTCCCAGGCACACCAGCTCTGCCTGCAGCGGGGGGAGGCAGGGAAGTCCCTGCACAGAGCAGACCTTGACCACTGGTGCAGATGTGCTGGTTCAGCACAAACCCTGCCTGTGCCCAGCTCTGGCCCACACCAGGTCTGACTTGGGGCTCTCTCATTGCCCAGGGAGCCCATCTGGCCATGCCATGGGAGCTGCAGGTGTGTACTACGTCATGGTAGTGGCCCTCCTCTCCGCTGCTGGTGGGAAGAAGCAGTCGAGGACATTTGGATACTGGTAAGCTGTGCAGCAGAACAACCTGTGCTGGGCAGAGGCAGCTGCAGCACTGACTGGCACAGCCAAGCCCACCGAGGCACGAGGCTGTGGACAGACAGCCAGGCTGTGGCACCCCAGCTGGGGTCTGCATGAGGATGGGCTTGGCAGAGAGCCAGGCACTGTTTAAGGCATTTAAGGTGTTTAAGGGAGGGCAGTTCCACAAGCAGAGCTGGGTCCTGGCACTGATGTGGCCACCTGCCCCTCGCAGGGTGCTGTGGACGGTGCTTTGGACGGGGTTCTGGG